GTTTACGGACTTTATTTAAATTTATAACAGGATATTTTTTATTTAATTTACTTAGATTAAGGTAAAAAAGTAAGTATTTACTATTTTATCAAGAAAAATGAAGTAGTATCTGCTGGCGGAAGGAATGTATATGTTACTAGTGATTTTATTCTTTGAGAACAATAATTGCTTGTTGGTCTGAAGGATTTATCCTCAAAGATATCCAAATAGGAATTTTCTTGACAAGCGTTCTAGGTCGACATTGCATTGTTGAAAAGATACTTTTCGTTTTTCGCAGAGCTGATAGTGTGATATATCCTAGGTTAGACCTATTAGGCAGAAATCTGTCTGTTAAGCGAAGAAAGTGAATTTTCCTTAATTGGTTCTTTTATAGAAAATCCAATAGGTAATTATTTTTATTTACCATGAATTACAAGTAATCACAATATAAATCAAAGAACAACTTCTTTATTTTTCTTGATAAAATAATAAATACTTACTTATTAAACTATCGTAGGTAAATTAAATAGAAGTTTAATTGTTTCTTTTTTCTTAAACCTTTAGATAATATCCATATGGTATGTATATATATTTTTTCCTTTTCTTGGGTATGAGGTTTATTTTTAAATAAATTGAAAGATGGAAACTTTTTTTATGCGACATTTCGCTCCAACATAGCGGGCTTTTTCAGGCACTTTATTCTAAGAACTTGAAGTTGCCTTGCTATCATCAGTCTGTATAAATTCATATTCATACAGACATTATCATTATTAGAGTATTTGAAAATTTTAACGGCTTCGATTCTCGCGGTATTATTTCGTATGACTCTTTCAACGGTAAAGTACGAGAGAAAAATCATTGGGTGAGAGACTTTGATAAAAGTTTAGGTAGGTACTGTGAAAAATGCTATATGAAATATAAAACCGTGAATATCCGCGAAATCTTTAAAAATTTTGAAATACTCTAAATACAAAAAATGTTCATTTTTTAATTCCCCATCTAATAGAAAATAATATACTTAAAAAAAACAAAAAAAAATTATTTAAGAAAATTTGGCGCAGAATTTTGAACACCCTGTGTGATTTTAGTTTACGATATTTATAGGAAAGTAAGTACCATACCATCTAAAGTAAATATCTAATACCTATAGTTTTAATTTCAGCACAGTTCTTGTCTTTTTAATAATTTTTTTAAGAAATGCTAAAAATATATATTTTTTATTTATTCATTACTATCTTCAAAACTATCGAAATACATTTACTCATATCTTAAGATTATGTAAAGTGATCTGAAAGGAATTCAAAAATGCAATAATATTTTGTTTGGTTTTTGCGCCACCCTGTAGAAGTTAAAATATTTTCTTAAAATACATCCCAGTATATATTTTAGGTTTGGACTTCAATCAATTCACAATTTTTTTTATTCTAGGAGCTACAAATGCCCGACGCACTATTGCCGGACTCTGTATAATGTATGTTGGCATTTATTGTTCAGTTTTAATTTGAAAATAAATGCAGTTTGTCTTAAATTAGTAAAAAATGGCACGTTTGTGTTTCAGCATACGCAGACTTTAAACTGTAATTTAACATTGATTTGAATAGGGGAGCCAATATTAGGACAGTTCAAAATTTGCATAGGATTTTCTATGTTTCCAACACTGATGCATCACCCTGTATATTTATTACATAATGCGCCAATTATAAATTAAAAGACACTTTTCAGAGGGTAAGTGGCCTCTCGCATGTACTTACGAGTTTTTGGTCGGTATTTACATGTCTAGGAGTGAATCGTTATATGGCGATCTTGTAAAGTGGAGAGAGAAAAATGCGAAGTGTTTATTAAAGTACGTATACGTTCTATCTATCGCCATGGGGCATCCCCGTAATGGAGGAAATAAGATTCTCTGTTAAAGATTAAAAATTTGTGGGCGTGCTATAAACATTTTAAATTATATTACTTCTGCAAACATTTCAAAAATACCAAATCAGATTTTTTTTCAAAGTTTTTCCAGGTAAATGAGACATAATCTTTAAAAAAATATATCGCTGTTTATTTAGATATATTTTGTAGTAAATTGATCATACTCTCATATTCCTAATAATTATCCTTTCATAGACACAAATCCAGTAGACGTAGTTTACATAACCACTTAATCCAACGCTTACAGCGCTTTCAGATAGACCGGACCGTACGCGCGGAGCGTCCGCGCGGATGTTTTTTCAATATAGCTCATCCGGACGGAGCATACGCGACCCATGTGAAATTGTTCATTTAAACTCATGGAACGGGCGGACGGTCCGCGCGGACGCTCCGCTCCATCTGAAAACGCTGTTATTATTTCGTGCTCTTGAAAAAATACTTGGCTCTTCTCTCTTTGTTGAATACATCTTATTATAATGAACACTAGTGATTGAATAAATTTATCACTCGATTATGATCGATCGATGCAAGTTACGAGTTGTGAGTGACAAGCGCAGGGATGAAAAGATGAAATAAATTGAAATCTTATTTTTATGGTCCCTAGGCCAGTCAATCTGGAGATTGAGGTGGAAAAAATTAGTAACCAACCGATCTCAACGGGAATGTGTAGATAATGATCTCTTATTTAACCCCCCAAAAGTCCCATTCGGTCCCAGTGGGGGAAGTTTTTTTTTCGTTTTTTCGTTTTTTTCAAAAATCTCCGTTTGCATAACTTTTTTCGAAAAAACTAAAGATACGTTTTTTGTAGAGAATTAAATTTAGAATATTTTACCTTTAATAATTTTTTTTTCTAAAATAAATAGTAATAGAGATAGAGCAATTTTTTACTATACGGTTTATAAATTTTCCAGTTTTTTAAAACCAATCAGCTATAATTTTTGCGTTAACAGTATAGTGTTAGTATAGATAAACCACACACAAGTATAAATTTAAGCATTAAAACAATTAAAAATAACGTTTAAATATTATTTATTAAATAAAATTATTGTTAAAAAAATTATTATTAAATTAAAGTTATTAAATAAAGTCTACTATGACGCCATCCTGAGCGTCACTTTCGTCCTCAATTAAAATACAAAAGTTTGTGCAACTGATTCCGTAGTATTGACCACACTTTGAAGTGAACATTTGAAACATTTAAGAGCCAGTTTTCTACAAGAGCCATTTTTAGAGCACTGACTCTCTTGCAAAATATTAATTTTAGTAGGTCAGGAGACATCATCTTCTGTTGGTTGAATAGGTGTCAGATTGCCTTTTTGATCTTTCTTCCATCCATATTGTAAAGTATCTAACTTGTTTCCAATCCATTCTTCAGTCTAAAAAATACATCTTATAACATTTCCTATAATAGATATATTTTTACAGTTACCTGAAAGTATGTCCTGAGTAAATGGAGTTTTGCAGAGTTCTCAGTTGGAGGCAAATTAGCTAAATTAAAGGTAGTTTTAACGGCGTGTCTTGATGTAATCCTATTGTATAGAGTGTATCTCATATAGTTAATATGTTTAATAAAGCTTGGGCAGTGATATAGCTTTAAAAGATAATTTAATCCTGACCGAAACAAGCCATCTTTGTTAGGACTTTTTATAAAAATATCGACAGGCACATTTTTATTGTTTCAATCAGGATTCAATTATCTTTTAAAGCTATATCACTGCCCAAGCTATATTAAACATATAAACCATCTATGAAGCTATAATTTTTCCCTCTAAGAAGCTATAATTAATCCCTTAAGACCACCTTTAATTTAGCTAATTTGCCTCCAACTGAGAAGTCTGCAAAACTCTATTTACTCAGGACATACTTTCAGGTAACTGTCAAGATACATCTATTATAGGAAATGTTATAAGTTGTATTTTTTAGATTCAAGAATGGATTGGTAACAAGTTAGATCCTTTGAAATATGGATGGAAGAAAGATCAAAAAGTCAATCTGACACCTATTCAATCAATAGAAGATGTGGCGCCTCCTGACCTACTAAAATTAATTTAATGCAATTGCAAAGAGAGTCAGTGTTCTAAAAATTGCTCTTGTAGAAAACTGGGTTTTGCATGTTCTTCAAAGTGTGGTTAGTGCTACGGAATCAGTTGCACAAACTGTTTTTATTAGCCTCAGCTAAAATTTTATTTTAGCCTCAGCTAAAATGACGCTCAGGATGACGTCATAGTAGATTTTATTTAATAGCTTTATTTAATATTAATTTTTTAACAATAATTTTATTTAATAAATAATATTTAAACGTTATTTTTAACTGTTTTAGTGCTTAAATTTATACTTCGTTTATCTGTTTTAACACTATACTGTTAACGCAAAAATTATAGAAGATTGGTTTAAAAAAACTGGAAAATTTATAAACCGTATAGTAAAAAATTGCTCTACCTCTATTAGTATTTATTTTAGAAAAAAAATGATTAAAGGTTATTATTCTAAATTTAATTATCTACAAAAAACATATCTTTAGTTTCTTCGAAAAAAGTTATGCAAACGGAGATATCTGAAAAAAAACGAAAAAATCCAAGATGGCGGCCATTTTTTTCAAACTTTCCCCACTGGGACCGAATAGGACTTTCGAGGAGTTAAATAGGAGATCATTATCTACATTATTCCCGTTGAGATTGGTTGGTTACCTCGTTACCCTGACCTACCCCGTTAATGTCCAAGATTTATGTCTCGCGATAAATCGCTTGCCAGCTTTGCTGTACTACCACGTGTAGCTCGTCGCTTGTCGCTGCCGCTCAATCGAACGAGATTTTTTTTAATAAATTATATTAGTTTTAAACTCCCCGGCAGAAAATTTCGCCACCCGAAAATTTTGACTAAGTTTGATGTTTCATAACTTTTTAATTTGTAATCCGATTTTTATGATTATGGTATTAGTTTGTAGATCAATTTGTTGGCATTATTTTTTATTATTTTAATGGCATATATTTCGATTAGGCGGGCTTATACCGGGGTAGCTCAGATACATGTATTACTAAGTGTATGTTCGATAATTTTAATTTGTTAAAATCAACTTATTTACGTAAAATTATTTGTTTCAGGTGGGAGATCAAATTATCCGCATTAATGGGTTTACTGTAGACGATGCGGTTCATAAAGAAGTACTTCAGCTAATATCCAATCACACTCATGTAACGCTTAAAGTTAGAGGTAAGAAAATGTTTTAATTTAAATTCATACCTATTATCATTATTTTCAGCTTATTCAACCATTTCGAGTTATGGTTTAGCCTCCATTACGTATTTAGATACTCTGTAGTTTGGTTGTGCCCAAGTTATTCCTGCTAATTTCCTAATATCACAGTCCCATCTCAGGTTTGGTCTTCTAAGTCTCTTTATTCCTCAGTCATACCAAAAACTTAAAGTATATAGGGTGGTGACAATTTCGATGCTCAACACTGGTATTTCGGAAACTACAATTGATTAGAATTTTATAATTTATTTATAAACATGTACAATTATTATAATAAACTATAAACAATTTTTAAAATTATCCCACATAAGCTTGAGAGCTTATGCGTGGGAATAACAATAATTAATAAAAAAAGAAAATTTGTTGCGTAAACTAAACTCTAGCCGTTACATAATAAGTTCACTATATGCATAATCAAAAATAAGAAATAAAAAAAGTTACTTACATATTACAAGTCAAATAAATACTACCGATCTTGTCAGCACTACACGGCACGGATACCAGAGAGTCACTAATAGAATAGTTTTTTTTTAGTATTTAGAAAATATTGCGATATTAATGTTTGATATTATCCATTTTTTTATTAAAGATTTAAACCGCATCATTGTGGCATTTTTTATATCCACAGGTAAAAGGTTATATAGTTTTGGACCAATATAAAGTAAACAATGTTGTGTTAATTTAAATTTCATAAACGGTATGCTTGAATCTTGTCTTGAATAGGCTCTAGTAAATATATTGTTACAATTATTATTACTTGTCGATTTTTTGTATTTATGCATGTATATTATTACACTTCTCACGTATAGTTGACGTATATCCAGTACTTGAAAACTTGCAAATGTTTCCTTAGTGGAAAAGTGATATGGTTTAAATAGAGCTATTTTTAAAAGAATTTTTTGTGCTGTTTCGATTTTCTTTAGTAATGTTTTATGCCCCACGCTGTAATGCCATATTGTAGTAAACTCTGGCCAAATGCAAAATATATCTTTTTTAAGGTTTCAAAATTCATATATAATCTTAATTGAGTGAACAAATAAAACAGCTTTCTGATATTGGAAGTTAAAATGTTAATATGATTATTCCATTTTAGATTGCCATCCAAATGTAAACCTAAATATTTTGTAGTATTCCGATATTGAACATAGCCACCCTCAATGTTTATATTATGTAAGTTAGAAAAAAAACTCTCCGGGACATTAAATGGAACTGCCACGGTTTTATTCGCATTCAGAGTCAGGTAATTCTCATCCAACCAACATTTAACTTCGTGCAGCCCTTGATTTGCCATTATGACCGTTTCTTGCCACGTTCTCCCTTCAAATAGGATTACGGTATCGTAACGTTTTTCCACTATTTACCTTTATTTCCAAAAAATCATTTAAATATATTAAAAAGAGAACAGGACCCAGAACAGTACCCTGAGGAATACCATAATTTACAAAATTTGAAGTACTAAGCACCCCGTTAACTTTTGTGTTTTGCACTCTTTCTGATAAATACGATTGAAAAAGTGTGCTTGTAATCCCCAAAACTCCCACATTTTCCATTTTTTGTATAAGATGTTTGTGTGGGATCGAATCAAACGCTTTTTTTAGATCTAAAAACACTCCAATCGTCTTTTTATCGCTATTAATATTATCATAAACATGCTCTAGAAGCTTGTTGATGGAATCACTTGTACAAGTGTTTTTCAAAAAACCAAACTGTTTGGAAGATATTATTTTGTATTTTTCTAAATATGATACTAAACACGTTTTAATCAGTTTTTCAAGTAGTTTTTGTGAAATGATTCAGTAATGTAATTGGCCGATAGTTCGAACATTCAGTTTTGTCTCCCGATTTATATACTGGCACTACAAGAGATGCTTTTAATTTTGATGGGAATTTTCCGGATATAAAAACTTGATTGAAAATATGAGTTAGTGGGAAACATATGTATTCACTAGCAATTTTGATGTTTTTAACGTCTATATTATCAAATCCTGAAGCATTATTATTTTTTAGAGACTGTATAATGCTTTTTATCTCAGATGGATCAGTAGGATTTAAAAATAAAGTTTGTCCTTGCCGTACCGTATCAGCATACTTGTTTGTTTTTACACTATTTTTTTTGTATAAACTCTCGCCCACATTAACAAAGTAATTATTAAAATGATTTGCCACTATCCGAGGTTCTGAGAGTAAAGTATTATTACTTTTGATAGAAATGTTTCTTTCATTATTATTACAATCCCTACCTTTAATTTCATTTATTATTTTCCATAAAGACTTCATATCGTTACCCACTGATTCTACTTTATAAGTATAATATTTTACTTTTTGCGCCTTAATTAACCCTATCAATCGATTTCTATAGTTTTTGTATGATTCTTGGAAAGTTACATTATTTGGATTTGAATGTGCGAGCTTTGCTGATTTGTCTCTTTGTTTTATAGAATTCAATAAGCTTGTGTCATCCATGGTTTTAGTCTTTTATTTTTCGAGTTAATTTTTATTTTTGTTATTGTTGTTGAAGATGCTATTGCAATCTGAAATTCATTTAAGAAATTTTGGTAAGCAATTTCAGGATCAGATTCCGCAAAACCCAATTTTTATTTTTTAGTATTTCAAGAAACCGATCTGCATGGAACCTTTTATTTTCATAAAATTTAGAATAATTATAAATAGGCTGTCTTTGCTGTTTAAGACCTAAGCAAACAAATACACTATAATGATCGGTGACAGATGATTTTATTATACCAGCTGTTATATTTAAATAGCCATCAATTTTACCAAAAATATGATCAATACAACTCCCACCTCTTTCATTCCATCTTGTGGGTTTGGTGATGAAATTCAAAAATCCTAGACTATTAAGCTTATTTAGATAGAGTTGCACTTCGTTACCGGTCTTAAGGGTGTCTATGTTAACATCTCCCAGTACAAATTGATTTTTCAAACTCTTATTTTGACATAGTATTTCGTAAAAGTTATTGATAAATTGAACGCAATCTAACGAAGGAGACCTATAAATGGCCCATATGTTAATCATATTTGAGTATTTGGCTAATCTAATTTGAGCTACGCAAGCCTGCTTAATATTTACTTGAAATATTTCAAATTCAACTGTATTTTTGACATATATAACTAAACCATCACGTCTGTTAGTCTGCGGATCAATGACATTAATGGAATAATTAGGCAACTTAAACATTTCTGTACTTAAAGAATTTGAAAATAGCCATGATTCACTCAAAACAATTACGTCATATGAAATATTTAAACCCTGTAAAAAAAGTGAAAAATCATCGAATTTTTTTTTATACTTCATATGTTCATATGTAATATAGATATACTTACATTCTCACCTCCATTAACAAAATCCATCTCAGCGGCATCCGTGACATCATAGTACTGACAAGGTCCAACATATTCAGTATCTTCAAGTAATTGCACAATATTAGTTTCATTCATCTTAATGCCACCGCATATAACTATTTATCGTATTGAAAACAAGAAAATAAAATAAACAAATATCTTGACTTTGAAAAAATGTCGTAAGATGACCACGATCTAAGCTATGAATTATAGTAAAAAGAAAAAGAAAACAAATACCTATCTATTATCCCTACTACAATCAGAATATACGAATACCATTCGGTTAAAGGAGACAAAATTTTTGTGTTATTAGTTTTTGATTTATGTTAAAAAATCGAATTGAAGTGTAATTTTTTTAATATATCTTTTTCATTTTGAGTAAACATTTTTAAACATTTAATCTAAATGACAATTTTTCCAGAACTCTTGTATCTATTGTATCGTAAGTTGGTACGAGATTCTGTTTTAATAAATTTAATAATGACAATATAAAAAAGTAATTTTAATGCCTAGGCATAAAAGTAAAGCACCTATAAATATAATAGTACGAAAATATATATTAAACTGGCATAAAGTGTCAAATTCTACTAGCGTAACGATAGTTTTCTATATATAAGTACATACCATGTATGACTTTTAAATCTTTTTATATTATTTGGATCGTTTGCAATTGTTTAAAAAATTATTTGTGGCGTTTTAAAAAAATAGCATGTTCTATTCGGAGTAACCTTGTGGCTGGGCTGTATGTCGTCAAACGTACAGCTCCTCAAGTAGACGCCGGACTGTTTCTTTTTGTTTAATTTAATTGCTCTTCACTGTATTTTACCGCTAGTATATTTTGGGCCAGTTTTGATATGGTTTCAAAGTTTTGCCTTTAACTTAATTGCTTTTACTAATTTTAAGAGGGTGTCTGCGGAGATGTTGCCATGATCAATCGCTATGCGCGCCTCGCATCATTCCTGTTCCCATCTTGGACAGGCAAACAAAAAAAAACTGTGTGTTCTGGAGTATCGTTGGGCTCAGCACAGTATTGGCATGCCGCGACTTCCCTCTTTTCAATTTTACACAGATAACTCCTAAAATTCCCATGACCACTCAATATTTGAGTAAGATAAAAGTTGACTAACCTCTCCATGCTTTCTTTTAATCGACATATTTATATTTGGGGATGAGTTTATATGTCCATCTTCCCTTTTCCAATGCTTCTCATTCTGTCTGCTATTGCTGCAGGGAGCGGTTTCTCTCCATATCGAGATATATCGAGCAGACCCCCAAAAAAATCTATTCTGCTTTCGTTGGTTTTGCAGTTTTTTTATTTGTTTTTGTGCAGTTTCGCCTGGTTGACGCGATCAAAGTGTACTTGGACCAAGTCAACCGGATGCTGTCATACAAATATACCTATCTAGATGTTGCGCCCGTCTCACTTTTAGGATGTTTGTTTATCAAGTGGAAACCATTTTTTTCCATTATACGGTATTTTTTATTAAAAATATTGGACGAATTTTTTGTGGGGAGTGCGGAGAGGTTAATAAGGTGTATTTTAAGTATTATTCCATTCCATTACAATTTACGACAAATCAAACCAAACAACAGGTGTA